AAGGATGAGGTCAGCGTTTTTTTTAGGATTAGCTCAGCACATTCATCGGCCATTCAATTGTCGGGTTTTTCTGTAGTTATCTTCAGAGTAGGGTCTGACCTGCTCTGTTTGGAAAGCGCCGTGAGACGACTGTTGTTGTGATGTGGCGCTATAGAAATGAAATTGAATTGAATTCATTTTCATTTTGTGATGTCATCGTCTGAACGTGTGTTTGGACTGATTTTGTATTGTGTGATTTTGTGTCGTTTGGTCTTCCTGCCTCAGGACCACAGATGTAAACTAGCAACTATGCTAGAATCTGGCTCATTTACAATCTGTATGAGATTGTTCATTAATGTGCACTGTCCTGACTAAATAAATAAATAAATTAAATAAATAAAAGCACATTTTCACAGGTTTTCCATTCAAAGTCTGCGGCGTGTAAAAGGACAATGGCACAGAAACCTTTTCCTGTAGCCACTGATTCCTAGGGAGCAAGAATTCGGGACGTTTGTGAACGTTAAAACTACGTATCCTGCCTCATTTCAGGTTACGCTGCTCTGGAGGTGCACCACATTGTTTTCCAATGAAGGGACCTTGACATTTGTGAGTCCTTGATGGCACATTTGTGGCTTCTTTAGCATTGCGACAAATGTGTGTGTATGGCTGTACATGGTCCCCGCTGGTATGGAGATTTGGGGCTTTTGTGGCAGCACCTGCAGGGGAAGCTGGAAAAAACAGCAGCGAAACATTGTGCTTGCTAGTGCTAACTTTAAAGACCCCGGTTATATCAGCTCCTGATGGGAATTGTTGGGTTTCTGTAAATAACTTCAGAGTTGGTCTAAGCTGCTCTGTTGTTGTGATCAGTGTTGGGGAGTAACGGATTACATGTAACGACGTTACGTAATTTAATTACAAAAAAAGAGTAACTGTAATTCGTTACAGTTACAATGAGAAAATATGTAATTCAGTTACAGTTACTTCCGAAAATATTAAGAATTACAAATTTAGTTACATTTTTTAAAAAATATAAAGAGAAACCTTTGCGAAATATGCAACTCACTGATAGAGGAAGCGTATTGATTTACTAATATTTGACTGTTTGGTGTTGATGCATGACAAACGTTTATCGATGTCTATGACCTAGCCTAGCCTAGCCTACCTAGCCCACCCAACTGTAGGGTGACCAGACGTCCTCTTTTTCCCGGACATGTCCTACATTTCAGACTAGGGTTGTCAAAAGTATCGATACTTAAAAAAGTATAGATACTAAAATGTTGTATCCGGATACGACTGACTTGTCTACGATTTATTTATGTATTTATTTACGTTGTTTATGATCGTTAACGAGACGTTAGCCTTGAACTGCTAGCTGCGGCCAATAGCTAATAATAATATGCTAAAATTAATCATGGGTTAATACTCATTAAAACCTTCAAGTAATCAAAAAATAATCAAAAGTAATTAGTTACATTACTTTTTTTAAGTAATCGAAAAAGTTACACTACAATTACATTTTAAACAAGGTAACTTGTAACTGTAACGGATTACATTTTTAAAGTAACTTACCCAACACTGGTTGTGATGTGGCGCTATAGAAATAAAAATGACTTGAATTGAAACTTTTTTTTCTAGGTCAAACAAATGGCAAAATACATTCAAGTTGAAAGTGGCAAAAATCATCTTTTGGGATATAGTTAAGGGCCTCTGTAAAGCTGGACTCCATGCGGGGTGCCAGGAGCCACATGGTCAGAGTTGGATATGACGGGTGGGACGTGCACGTCGAGAAAGTGCACGCTTCCCACCCAGCGTTACTGTGCATGTGCTCCAAAAGGTGCACGCGTTGTGATTATTGCCTTGGTTCCAGATGTTTCTGGGACAGATTTGATGATTTCTCTGCTCCATCTTACTTCCATCATGAGATTGTATTTTGTATCTTTTCTCTGAGGGAAAAAACTAGTATGAAAAGTAGCTTTTTTTCTAGCCACCACTTCCTTTTATGTGTCATCTGTGGAGGACAAGCCCAGCTTTAACCTCCTGAGACCCCAGATTTTAATTGGTGTGCATTTTTGCTTTTTTAAAGATATATGGGATTAGTACAACCTACTAAGTTTAATAACTAAAATTTGTCATGGTACAGGTAGTTGTGCTTCGTATAGGCTCAGTGGGTTTATCTTTATATTTAAAATGCTAGTTTATGTATCTAATTAAATGTTATTGGAATTTTGTTCTGACAGTCCAAATTACTTATTAACAATTTTTTAATTACGCAATAAGAACATTATTGGTTGAAAATGTATAGCACCCATTTTACTTTAGAGTGTCTGATAGCGTCTGCTATGAGGCCAAGAGGTCAAAGCTGAAAGAAAAAAAGAAGTATCATGGTAAAGAGAGGCAAAAATGCTATGTCCTCTTATGAGGACACAGGGTCTCAGGAGGTTAAAAAGACGGTAGTATGAGGCGTGGCCCTCTTTCCACTGGAGAAGAAGCGGCCAGGGTTTATGGAAATCTATAAACACTTGCATTTCGGGCATTATCTCTAGCATTCTGGAACTTTTTCGGGTTTAGAGACTGGTCAAACACTCCCAGCTTTGTTGCCCTAAACAGAAACACTTAAGCATTCAATCATTCATCTGACTGGATGGAGGGAGTCATGATTAGGAGGTTTACCAGTGCTTGCTGATCATAAAGATTTATTACACATGCAGTCAAAGTTAGAGTAGAAAAGAATGATCCATCCTCCTCATCTTTACCTCAGAGCACACAAAACTTCAATTTGTGCGGGTATTCAACGGCCCTCAAAGGGGATAAGTTAAAACTATTTCTTCCACCTTTCATTAGAACATGTTATGTTCTGCACGGCTCTTTACGCATTATTTTACATTTACACGCCAAACCTGCATTATTCACCTGATCATGATTCATCGCATTGTATGTGCAAACTCAAACAATTAATTCAAAAGGAGTGTAAGGAGCACTTTTCATGTTCTGCTGCCAAATGAACGAAACTGTTGTAAGATTTGTAGTGCAAACCCTTAACATCAGCACTTATCAGTAACACATTTAGTGTAAATCTCAACTTAAACCTTTGTATTCTTTGGTTAAAATTAGCTCATCACTGATAGCCCGTTCCTAAATGAACATATATGGAGTATTTCATATGGAAAATCAGATTTCAGATTTCACTTTGAATGCACCGTGACCCCCCCCCTGCATTGAAAATAGCTGAAAGTGGCATCTATCTCTGACAGTAAAGCTCAAACTAAACAAATAGGACTGAGGCCACATCAAAGCCATGAAAACAAGGAACTGCAAGTATTTCAGAAAAAGTAAATACTAGCAGTTGGCTGTGTGCCTGTAGGAGTTTAGTTTAGTGTGTAAGCTTGGAGATTAGGACCCGTGCGCTCTGTTGTTGTGTAATCAAATTCTGAGAGTGAGCTGTGCCTTAATCTAAGTTATCCAGGTAACGATAGGACATACCCAAGAAAAGAAAACTGAACTAAAGCAAGCTGTGAATGGAGGACTAATACTGCCCCGATCTGAAATAAATAGACAAAAAGAAAAAGTAAATAGCTAAGTGAATGCAATAAAGAATTCCACTGAAAAAAAGAAAATAAATCAACAGTAAATGTGGAGAATGTTTCATCTCTGTGCTTACGCGTTATTTCCTTGAAGTTGTTTTGGTTTTGACCCGGTGTAAACTCTTTAGTTGTCACATGCACGTTTTTTCCTGAGCAGGCTGTCCAGTTTTCACTGACCCATCAGCTCGGAGCTGCTTTGGCCACAGGTCATCTAATTTACATTTGCATTTCACCACAATCCCAGAAACAAAAGGGTAAAAATGCCAATTATCGTGACTGGTGGCCTGTATCAATGACCCTGACCCTAACCCTAACCCTAACCCTGACCCCTCCAGCCTTCATAATTGTGAGAAATAAATATTTTTGGGGTGAAACTTATTGGTTCTTATTATAAACTTATTTTTTTGGTTTGGACTTATTGTACAAACCTATTTAACATCCACTATTTTAACATCATATTATGGATAGAGTTTAATTCAGTGTTTGAAAGATTATTTGAACTATTTTTTAAATGATTGTCTATATTGCCATGAAGCAATTAGGATTTTCTTGCCTGGGATCTTCCTATTGGTGACCGAATCAAAATGGCCGACTTGGATGTGGGCGGAGTTGGATATGTACTTGATTACCGTTGGCGTGTAGTTATTAGCCATTAGCCAAAGCTAGCAGTTCAAGGCTAACGTCTCGTTAATGATCATAAACAACGTAAATAAATACATAAATAAATCAGAGAGAAGGGGGTGGTATCGATACTTTTGAAAATGAGTATCGTATCCGGATACAACATTTTAGTATCGATACTTTTGACAACCCTAGATAGGAGCGGTCACTCACCTCCAGCCGCAGTCGGGCCAGCTGCAGGTGTAGGGCTTCTCCCCGGTGTGGCGGCGGAAGTGGGCCTTCAGGTGGCTGCTCTTGGTGTACATCTTCCCACAGCCGGGGTGGGAGCACTTGTGGACCCTCTCGGTGGGGGCCACGCGGGCGGCCCGGGGGGGCCCCGCCTTCGGGGGGCCGCCGCCCTGCCCGCCCACCCCCGGCAGAGCCCTGACCTCCAGCGCCCGGGTGGCCAGGGGCAGGGGGGCGATCCTCACGTACTTCTGGTCAGCAGACTGGACGTCGGCGCTGCCGCCGGGGGGGCCGGACGCCTGGGGGGCCAGCAGGGTGACGTTCTGTGCCGCGGCCCCCTGCAGGCCCATGACCAGGTGGGTCAGCCAGATGGCGCTGTGGGCCCCGGGGGGGGGGCAGGCGGGGGCCAGGGGCTGGACCAGAGGTAGGGGCGGATCCGGGGCACCAGGGGGGGCCCCCAGGACCAGGGAGGGGGTAAAAGGGCGCGGGGGGGGATTGGAGGGGGGGGGGGGGGCGGGCTGGGACCCCCCCCCTGTGGGCGTGTCCGGGCTGGACGTGCAAAGGGTGGCTGCATGGTGTCCAGCCTCTGCAGGAGGGAGGCTGGACGGTGGGGGGTCAGCGAGGCTGGACGGTGGGGGGTCAGCGAGGGGGGACGGCTGAGGGGAGGCCTCCTCTGCCGGGGGGGGCCGCTCCTCCCTCACCAGCTCCATCTTCTCCTTCAAGAACTCCTCTATGTCCTCCAGGGTGGGGGAGAAGGGGGAGGGGGGGTGGAAGGGGAACTCTGGCAGCGCGGGCTCCTGGCCGGGGCAGATGAGCAGAGCCGCGCCTTCATCCTCCTCCTCCTCCTCCTCCTCCTCCTCCTCCTCCTCCTCGGGGCTGGAGCTGAGCGCGGCGGGGGGGCCGCAGGACGCCGGGCTGCCGCCCTCCCCCAGGCCCAGCGGGAACAGGCCGCCGCCACCGCC